CCCGATAATAAAAAAACTAGCCTCAGTAGGACAGGTACACCGTTCTAGAAACTAGGCGGTCCAAGGGCACACATAAAACATGGCTCCAAAAACATCAACACAACCCATAAGAGTGCTGCAGACTAACACCAATAGGTCAATAGCAAACTACGATCTCGTCTCTGTCGAAATGGCGGAAAGAGAAGTAGATGTACTGGTGGACTGCGAACCAAACAAAAAACTAGTCGCAAGCAGTAGATGGATAACGGATAATAGATCAGACGTAGCGGTATTGATAAAAAATAGAAACCTGGCAGTAAATAACATCAAGAAAAAAGATAGTTACGTCATAATATCATTCAAACAGTTCGACCTGGTTGCCGTTTACATATCTCCGAACATAACGCACAACGAATCCAAGAACAAAATCGACGAAATCATGAACAATTGTCGAAATCTGTCTGCCGAATACGTACTCATGGGCGATCTAAATGCAAAATCGATACACTGGGGATCTCCCATAACCGATCCGAGGGGCGACTACCTCACCGACTGGATGGCATCCCTGGATATGATAGTCAACAATAAAGGCAATAAGCCCACATTCATTAGAGGAAATACCAAATCATACATAGACGTCACTAGTTCATCCAGGGGATTGGCCCGAGACATCACCAACTGGGAGATCATAGATACAGGAAAAGAAGACCACCAGTACATCTATTTCGAAATAAACAAAAATATAAAAAACAAAAAACCGATCGAAAAAACCACAGTTAAAGTCGACTGGGACACTTTCAAAAAAAAAACATGAAAATATCGCGACACTACGACGGCACACGTCCCTAGAAGAATACATAAAGGACATAAAGACGGCATATAATGCAAGCAGGACTCGAACAAATGGAGAAATCAGGAAAATGCCATACTGGTGGAACAACGAGATCGCCGTACACAGGACTCAGTGCATATCACTAAGACGCAAGGCCTTAAGAAATGCGAGGAAGCCAAATGTCACTGAGATAGAACGTGAAAACGATATAAACCAGCTCAAAACATTCAGAAAGGAACTACAAAAAATGATTGCCAAGTCGAAAAGGGAACACTGGAACAAACTGTGCGAAGAGCTGAACGATGACATATGGGGAACCGGATACCGCATAGTAACAGGTAAAATGTGTACATCGACTCCCACAGATCTGAGCCCAGAACAAAAAGAGAAAATAGCTCGCCACTTGTTCCCGAAAGGAGACGTTGTAGATACACAGTACAACCCCACGGATGCAAATCCTTTTTCACAAAAGGAACTAGAAGAGGTGGCATGCAACCTTAAAAATGGAAAATCCCCCGGACCTGACGGAATTCCAGCAGAAGCAATCAAAGCCATATGCAAGAGCTTCCCAGACACGATGCTAAAAATGCTAAACAAACATCTCGCTGAACAAGATTTCCCGGACATATGGAAGACAGCCAAACTAGTATTGATCCTAAAACCCGGAAAACCCTTCAATGAGGACGGCTCATTTAGGCCAATCTGCCTTATCGATGCGATCAGCAAGCTATACGAAGGGCTAGTAAAAAGGAGATTGGAGAAGGAATTAGAGGAACGAGAGGGCCTCTCCCCGAATCAGTTTGGTTTTCGAAAGGGCAAAAGTACCATTCAGGCAGCGGAGGTTGTCAAGGAAGCAACGAGAGATCGGAGCAGGAGGTGGCTAGCACTGATACTCCTTGACGTAAGAAACGCTTTCAACACGGCCACCTGGCCCATTATCATTAAAAAATTAGGGGAGAAGGGGATCTCCGAATACCTAATAAACTTAATAAAGAGCTACCTGTCAAAAAGGTTCATCCAAATAACTTCGGACAAAAAACAAGAGGTGACAAGGGGAGTTCCACAGGGATCGGTCTTGGGGCCAACACTCTGGAACATCCTGTACGACGATGTTCTGCGAACAGTACAGGAACGGGATGTCAACACTATCGCGTTCGCGGACGACCTCGCACTGCTAGTCACTGCACAGAACGGAGAAGACTTGGAAACAACTGCTAACTTGGCCATGAGAAGGATAGACCAGTGGATGCGCAGACACAAACTCGTGTTAGCGCCAGAAAAAACGGAGGCTGTAATACTGAGAGGCCACGGCTGGAGGAAAATCAGGGAAAAAATAAGATTCGAACTAAATGGCAAAATAATAACACCCACAACTACAGTCAAGTATCTCGGCATAGTATTCGACGACATAGGCTCTTTCGGCCCCCATGTAAAGTACGCAACTAAAAAGGCGGAAGAACGCATCAGGACGCTAACGAGGATCATGCCCAACATAAAAGGACCGTCAAGCAAAAAAAGAGAAGTATTATGCTCCGTAGCCCACTCGATCCTATTATACGGGGCCCCGATATGGGCCGATGCACTAAAAGCTGACAGGTATAGAAACATGATGGAAAGAGTGCAGAGAAAAGCTGCGCTACGAATAGCAAGCGCCTATTGCACCGTGTCATTGGAAGCCATCAGAGTCATCTCGGGTACAATTCCTATACACCTCCTCGCTGAGGAAAGGGTGCGCCTCCACCATCAGGAAGAACATACGGAGGCACAAAAAACCGCCGAGAGAAAGGAAACGGTAAGAAAATGGCAGCAGCATTGGGAAACACATGACGAAACCGGACAATGGACCAAAAAGCTCATACCGAGGATTGAAACTTGGCTGAACTGCAAGCACAGGAAGGTTAATTATTTTCTGACGCAGGTCATGACAGGTCATGGGTCCTTTAAATCCTACACGCTAAAGATCGGCAAGAGCGCAGACGCATACTGCAGATACTGCGGGGAGACGGACTCAGCAGAACATACCTTCTTCCACTGCAGGAGATGGGCAGCATATAGACAGGATGCAGAGAGGGCACTGGGTCACACACTCAACGTAGGAAATTTAATCGACACAATGATTAGAAACCCCGAAGCATGGGAAGTGGTCGATACCATGGCAAGAAAAGTAATGAAAAAAAGGAAGAGGAGGAAAGAGAGGCACAAGCACAGGAGAGAGATTAAAAAACGCAAAACCTAGGCATCACGATGTATGTCGGCAAGACGCTCCCGTGATGCCATAGGGGGAGAAGCAAAGGGGGGTTTTTTAGTAAGTATTCAAATATGACTGGCGGTCGTGAGTCCCACACAAACCCCTGCCGACCATCAAGCAGCGGGCGTGCGTAAAAGCATTTTTCCCCCCCGGAAAAAAAAAAAAAAGGTTAGGTTAGGTTAGGTTAGGTTAGGTTAGGTTAGGTTAGGTTAGGTTAGGTTAGGTTAGGTTAGGTTAGGTTAGGTTAGGTTAGGTTAGGTTAGGTTAGGTTAGGTTAGGTTAGGTTAGGTTAGGTTAGGTTAGGTTAGGTTAGGTTAGGTTAGGTTAGGTTAGGTTAGGTTAGGTTAGGTTAGGTTAGGTTAGGTTAGGTTAGGTTAGGTTAGGTTAGGTTAGGTTAGGTTAGGTTAGGTTAGGTTAGGTTAGGTTACGTTAGGTTAGATTAGGTTAGGTTAGGTTAGGTTAGGTTAGGTTAGGTTAGGTTAGGTTAGGTTAGGTTAGGTTAGGTTAGGTTAGGTTAGGTTAGGTTAGGTTAGGTTAGGTTAGGTTAGGTTAGGTTAGGTTAGGTTAGGTTAGGTTAGGTTAGGTTAGGTTAGGTTAGGTTAGGTTAGGTTAGGTCAGGTTAGGTTAGGTTAGGTTAGGTTAGGTTAGGTTAGGTTAGGTTAGGTTAGGTTAGGTTAGGTTAGGTTAGGTTAGGTTAGGTCAGGTTAGGTTAGGTTAGGTTAGGTTAGGTTAGGTTAGGTTAGGTTAGGTTAGGTTACGTTAGGTTAGGTTAGGTTAGGTTAGGTTAGGTTAGGTTAGGTTAGGTTAGGTTAGGTTAGGTTAGGTTAGGTTAGGTTAGGTTAGGTCAGGTTAGGTTAGGTTAGGTTAGGTTAGGTTAGGTTAGGTTAGGTTAGGTTAGGTTAGGTTAGGTTAGGTTAGGTTAGGTTAGGTTAGGTTAGGTTAGGTTAGGTTAGGTTAGGTTAGGTTAGGTTAGGTTAGGTTAGGTTAGGTTAGGTTAGGTTAGGTTAGGTTAGGTTAGGTTAGGTTAGGTTAGGTTAGGTTAGGTTAGGTTAGGTTAGGTTAGGTTAGGTTAGGTTAGGTTAGGTTAGGTTAGGTTAGGTTAGGTTAGGTTAGGTTAGGTTAGGTTAGGTTAGGTTAGGTTAGGTTAGGTTAGGTTAGGTTAGGTTAGGTTAGGTTAGGTTAGGTTAGGTTAGGTTAGGTTACGTTAGGTTAGGTTAGGTTAGGTTAGGTTAGGTTAGGTTAGGTTAGGTTAGGTTAGATTAGGTTAGGTTAGGTTAGGTAAGTGAAAAAAGATTTAATTGCTACCACCTCAAATTAAAATGTGCCTATCATTTAGTTATAAAAATGTTTAGTTCAAGTTAATTTTCACCTGTTAGCGTTCTCAAGAACTCCGTAATTTTTATTTTTTAATAATTCCCATTTTTAAAAATTCGCGAGAATCCCCGTAGTTCAAAATATATCATTCTTTACAGAAATTGAGTTCAGCTTTAAACACTCAAATTCAGCTTAATTATCTGGTAATTTGAGCAGATTTTTTTCAGTCTGCTTGTTCGTAAACAGTATTTCTCCATCGTGGTTACCGTTTTAAATATATTATTTTATATAAACCTTCTTTGTTTATCTTAACTGTACCCCTCTTTTGGTTGTTTCTGAATTACCTTTAGGGTAAAAGGTGCAATATGAGTATGTTTAGGTTGAGTAAGTTAGGTATTTTCGGTGTTAATGTTCCTTTAGGTACACCCCATTTGCAAGTAACCGCCTGGAATTTATTTACTTCATTGGGGCTACAGGAAAAACTGCGTTATCAAAACTAGAGCCTGGTCAACCATTATTCTAAATAACAGCCTGGTGCTATCCACGTCTTCCACTTCACCACAAGTAAAACAAGAAGACCTGTCACAACCTTGTGTATTAAAAGAAAAATACTGAAAGCCTACTTACTTAAATATGTAGTATTAGTGGTATCCGCAGATCCAAAAATATATTCGTCAGTAACTTTTGACCATCTGACAATGTACCATTTCAAATATTCCATTCCATATTCCGGCCGTTTCCATGTAACCAATAGTCCCGAGTCCGTAGGGTGTACCGAAACATTCCTGGGATAACCCACAGGTGGATATCGTCCTCCTATAAATATCGGTTCGGGTTCGCTTTCCAATTCTTTAGTCCAAACCAGAATTGATTTGCTAAAGAAGCCGTCACCGTTGTCGTCTTTACAAAGTATCATAAATTCGTAAGCAGTTCCTAAAATGTTTAATCGATATTTTGTTTTAAGAACTATCGCATCAAAGTTAATATCTTACCTGGATTTAAGTTAGTAATGGTCGCTTCCATGGACTTGGTAGAAGTCACAGCGTAAGTCTTCCATTCCGTACTATCCCTACTTTTATACCAAACGCTGAAATCAACGTTAGTTCTATGCCTGCTTATTAACCACGTCAAGTGAACTGAGGTTGGTGAAGAAGCAGCTGTGAGATTGTAAGGGGCACTGGATGGTATATTTTCCACCAATAGTTCGGTTTCTACTGTTATGGTGGCCGCTTTATTGCTAGCCGAACACTGGTAGATTCCTCTGTCATCGGTTTGAATCTCTGTGATGGTTAGATTGCCGTCTTTTATAGAATAACGACCAAGTGGAAGGGTCGATCCGTCTTTCTGAAATTACAAATTACGTTATTTAGTTATCTGAAGCTATGGCAATAATCTAGAGATCCATTTAAGTTTATCTTAAACAATAAAACAATACATAAATAAATATAGAAGCTCAAAGAAGAATCAAAATCTCATAATTTACAGAACATCTGACCATATGAACACACATATTACATTCTCTTTCACTAGAAATGTTAAAGACCCATTAGCTTCATCTATCCCATCAGAAGAGATTGCGGAGTATAGGTCAGAAACAATAAACATAGATTGGACTTGTCAAACAGTCAAAAATCCAAAAACTTTTGTTACGACAAAAGAGTAGCTAAAGAAATTCAAACTAATCTTAATCCAAAGATATACATCAAATTTTGACTCAATTACTAATGAAGGTAAAATTCATAGTCGTAACAGTTATAGTAATTAACAGAATTATTCAGGAACTTTGGTTTTTGACGATAAAAAAGCAGATAGTAAAAGAATTTTTGGAAACAACGTCCAATGCCAGAGTAAGTGAAAAAGTTTAATAAATGTACATATCCAGCTAGGAACTAAAGACGACTAGATAATGATGCTGATGAATCTTAGTAATCACATGGTTGTAGATCAACAAATTAACTTCTAGTACATTACTTACCTTATACCAAACGACCATGGGTTTATGACCATCTTCGCCATCTCTAGCATCACAAGTCATTTCTACTGTCTCCCCCAATTTTCTCAGATACAAATTATGAGGAGTTTTCAAAAAAACTGGCGGTTTCTGAACTATGACGTGCATATTGGTCGAAGCTCCTGCTGTGCCTAAATCATTGTAAGGCGTGCAAGTGTAAATGCCATTATGCGATTCATCAACTCTATTGATGAATAAACTACCGTTTCTTCTATAAAAAACCCCTTGGATGTTGTAAGGGTCGAAGAGAAAACCATCTTTGTCCCACCGTAGATTCGTTAAAGGCGGATTGGCACGATAGTGGCAATCGAGTATAGCGGGACGTCCGAATGGAAGGTGAATTTCTGGAGGAGCGTATACAACTTTGGCCTTGTCTAAAAATATATTTAATATATTTTGATAATTATATTACTCAACTAGACATGGGCATGGTAATAGAGAGAGGGGAAAAGGAAAATTGATAAATGAATTGCCTGAAAGGATTAAGGATTAATGATTTAGATATACAAATAATTAATACAGTTATCATTAAATAAATACTTACATTGTACATTTAAATAAGCCCTAGCAGTTTGTCGTTCCCCATCTATATTGGAAGCCTCACATTCATATTCTCCGGTATCCCCGGAGTCAGCTGGACGGATGACTAAGGAATTGTCTTTCGTTATCCAAGATCTGTTTATTAGATCGTGATACTCTGACAGAGCAATACCGTCTTTGAACCATTTCACTCGAATTTCAAAATCTTTGGTAAGGCAAGTGAATTCAACCTCATCTCCTTCCAACACTGTCTTGTTTAAAGGAGGAATCGCTAGCAAATTTCCACCTGAAAAGGTTAGTGGGTTTTACTACAAGTAACATAATTAAAAGTGTACCTAATTACTAGTGTGTTCTCGTCCTTTTGAGAAGTGAAAGGTTAAAAGAATTGTATATGTATCTTTATATAAGATAGGAAGGATATGTTGCCCCACAACATTTACGATTGTGGAATTATTTGTCTAATCTATTGTGGATATTCTTAGAGCCGGTTGACTAGTTTGCTATTTTCTAGTAAGACTATGTAAACTAAAAAGCAGCTTTCCTATGTGCTCTTGGTTTTTCTTCTCAAAGTATAAGGAATCTTAGTCTTGACAGACCTTCGCAGTACCACAATACGTTTCCTCATCTTTCTGTATATTTGTTATGTATTGTAATTAATCATATAAGTAGAGATCAACTTATAGGAGTTGGAGAGCCAGCGCAACGCACAATATTCTCCGCTAGATGGCCCCGACGATTTGCAAGGTGTTCCGACCACGCTGTCAGTTGCTATGACATAATCGCGAGATTCCATAAACAAAATATTGCTCATAGTTAACTATCAAACTCAACTATTTAGTGCTTTATGTATATAATATAAAAGGTAATTTGGCCATGGCCAATTGGTCTCTGAGGGTTCGTGGGTTCGAACTCCATACCTGGTATATTTTTTTATACTAAAATTTATGTTGCAACTTACCGCTGACTGTAAGGTGGAACCAGGTACCATTGTTCCTCCATGGAGGTGTCCTGTTGGGAAAATGCGTCCTGCATTCAAACCACCCCGCATCTGCTTCTCTTACTGACGTTATATTAATCGATGCTTGTCCGTAAGTCCGATGTAAATTGCTATTGACTAAAACGATTCTACCGACGTATTCGTCAGCTTCGGTCACCGCGCCATCTTGCCAAGAATAAATAACTTCACCCTGTAAATGTATAACAGTACGACATTTATAGAAAAAGTAAATGAAATGGACAAGTAACTTCGGTGTGTATATCTAATTAATTCAACTATGAACAACGACTAGACTAATTTGTTTACAAAAACCGAATTGGAAGCATTCGAGGGGTACTACACGTATTTGCCAAATTATTATGGGAAAGTCTTGTTATAAGGATTGTTTATGAATATAATTCGAAATTGACAACATAATATTCTAAAACGCACAAACAGCTTCAAAAATTACATTAAGAAAGTATATTTGCATTCTTAGTCCCAGTTATTTTGGTTTAATGTCTTTTTCTGGTTGAAATATCTCTGTATCTGTAACGTGTGAAGGGTGGGTTACCCTACAAAACTTAGGCCTCACTAGGCCCATTGTGCATCCTCCTAAGATGATAGGCACCTCCTAGCTCATGAGCCAGCCTACAGGTTTAATGTAGTTGACAACGTCGCCAAGAGGTGCTTCTCCTATATCGGCCGGTGTTAGCCAATTCTAGCCGAACACAAATTCGTCTTGTTATTTTGTATTTGTTTTTTGTTTTTAGAAATGTATTTCATGATTTTTACAATAAACAATAATAATTAAAGCATGTGTTTACTTGTTAAAAAAACTGAAATAAATAGTAATGAAGTGTGTTCCTAAATTTCCAGCACCCAGGGCCCGAAGTTATGTTAAACCGGCACTGGCCTGATGAGATATTTGGTTGTCCCCAAATTAAACAAGTTATTCTCACAAAACATTTTTTTTCTACAAGCGTGCGAAAAGATGATCTTCTCGCACGTAGAGAAATATAAATTGAAAAAAAAGCAAAGTATACTTACCGCCGAGGCCCGGGTTTGAACCTAAGATCTTTGCGTTATGATGAGCCCGAAACCCTAACCACTACACCAATTCAGCTCATAACATTTAATATATGTATACTTAAACTGTATGTTGTACCTAATGTCATTATACAGGTTAATTCTCTATTTTAGAAATAAATGCGCTTGTAGAAAAAAAGTTGATCGTAACACGTGCTAGAAGCACTTGTTGCGATAACTACTATTTCACTAATGTCAGTTAAAAAAATAGATTTTGCAATTTTTGCAACCATCGGATATGATAACAATAATAATAATTTAACGAACTAGTTGATCAGTATTTATCTAGTCGATACAAAAAGTATTTTACAACCAAAGAAAATTATACCTACTTACACTTTTTTTAATAATTTTTTGTTCAGGTTTTGCTTGAAACAGAATGTGGTTATTTTCTATATTTGGTTAATTTTTATTTCTTGTTTTTTCTTTTTTAATTTTTATGTTTTTTTCTAACCAGTGTAGTAATGTGACGCGAAGCCAACCCAGTTATTTGTTTATTACCGTACAGCGACAGGAAGTCCAGCGCTGGCCACATCGAGATCCAACTCGAAACCGATTCGAATGTTTTCCATCGCATTCTTACGCCGATAGAATAATTTCTAGAACTTCCAGACTAAGCTTCTAGTCAGAGTTGGTTCTTTCGAGAGCGTTACATTTTTATATAAATAGCCGTGATCAGTATGTAATTGTATTTAATTATGAATGTTGTTTTTGATTTATCAAAAAACTCCCAAAATTATTAAAAAGGAACATCCCCTAATTGAACAGACATATACCATCATAAAAATTGCAATAAACTCTCCACAAAAGAGTTGGAACCATATTAAATGATTTTATTTTTAGATATTAATTTTAGTCCAATATCTTCGCTGTTATATTATTCAAAATAAAATATTTCACCGCTCTCGTTATAAAAAATAGCTTTTTCAAACATCTCTCAAGCGAGTAAAACAACACTTCTTTGCATAAATTGAAAATTACTTTTTATAACCCATACACCACACATTATTTCAGAAATATTTCAAACGTTTCAAACATATAACATTACAAGTACAAGTTTGTGAAATATTTCTAAAATATTTTAATTAAATATTTCTGCAACATGTTATAAATGTTACACAAAAGAGTTATGTTATAAAAGGCCAAGAATTAATGAAAAATTTCTCATTGTAAGACAAGTTATGTAGTAGTCATTTTATTTCAGAGACAATCCTTTATTCTAAATAATTGGAAGTTTGCGATTGATGTTACTCTTGCTGGCACAACCCCATATCTATTTGGTATCAATCCAAACTAGTTTCAGAATTAGTTCATAAATTAAGTTTTTTGTACACTAACAGCTTTCATTTCCCTCTTAACAGTCACTACATTTTTTTAAGTTTTGCTAAGTTTCTTTGATATGCTCTATCCATTTAAGTCGTACATCTAAGTTCATCTCTAGGTGTTTGGAATACAAGCATTGTTTATTCTTATTTGTTTTTGTTCATTTTATCGAAGAGTAAAATCAACATACACTGGTTTGATTTATTTTTATTTTACAATTTTTGTCCAGAGATTGATTCTGTTGCAGATTACCTGTAGTTTTCTGAGGTCTTTGTATTATTTCGGCCAACCTACCAATATTGCAGTGTCATCTGCAAATATTGCTATTTTAAATTTTAACGCATTGTTTTAACGCATATCGCTGGTGTATAATAAATAAAGGACCGGTCCTAAACTAAACTAAATTCTAAACTTTTTTCCGTTAAAAAATATGATTTAAGGATTTCGACATATTGTCTGGGAAGCATTTTTCGAAGTTTCTGTGTGAGACCAGCGTGTCAAACCTTGTCAAATGCTAGGGCCATGTCAAGGAATATAGTTGAGCTTAATTATGTTTTTTCGAGCATGTCTCTGATATTCTATGTAGTTGATCTAATATTTTAAAATAGATTTATAGTAAGTTTTTCTATTTATCAGAAATTTTTAGTAATTATTGCACGTAGATATTAAACATAATACTTGTCAAATTTGTGATGTACACTCTTTAAGTTACCAATAACTGGCAAAATCACCCTACATAAATATATATTAATAGTAGACTTACCTTCCTTTTCCAAAAAAGCTTATAAGGTATGGGAAAACTTTGTGGAAAGTCGATTTGACAATTAAAAACAACCGAATCCCCCACCGCCGCCGTCAAATATCTGGGTCTGTTATCCTCGAAATAATAACAGTCAATGGAAGTGACGGCAATAAAAAAAACAACGGAAATAAAGGCACTATTCATTATACGCATTAAGAGACACGATTTGTTCTTTTATTTTTGTAACTCGTCGGACACTTCCACGCGTGCTGTTATTCGTGCACATTAGGAGGAATTAAGGCTAGATTAGGCAAATCAAATATAATGCCGCGAATTAGACCAACCTAGTTTGCACTTTGCATAGGGTTATTCAATCGTTTGGAAGAAAGGAAAGAAAGGAATGGAAGAAACGAGCTACATCCGGTTGACTGGTTGTATTATTTTATATAAAATTGCGCACTGTTTTGAATTGATTCGATTATTTTTATTCTAATTGTACTTATCCGATAACTAAGTAGCATTTATGACCTTAAGTTTATCGTCTGTATACGTTAATAATTTGGACTAAAGTTTGTTCGCTAGCAATATGGAATTCGAAAAAAAAAATGTCTGAAACAATGGAAATTTAGTAATTTTAATAATAATTCAAAAAATAACACATCGGTGGTAAAGTAATTCAATGAATAATAATAATAACATGACTTTATGCATCACTTAACAAGGAAAAATACAAAAAAGCCATCTGTATTTAGAAAATTAAATTTAAATAGTATTCAACATAGAACAAAATGTAAAAATTATTGAATGTTACTTTTCTACAGATGTGAAATAAAATGGCGAGTGGCAGTATTCAATTCCAGAATAGATGACTAATTTACTTGAAAAACATCCTCAAAATTATGTATTACTAAAATAACTATACCGGGTGTCCCAGATTTTTTTGCCCAGCGGATATCTCGGTTATTTAATGATATAAAATTGTAAAAAAAAATATGAATAATATTTGTCTAGTAGCCTTTTAAATTCCACTACATAAAGTTATATTCATCAATCCACCCCATAGGAACAACCCCTAACTTTTTTTTTTCAAATGTCACCCCTATATTTTTTTTCGTTGATATAAATACTCAATTTGTCCCGAATGCAACGATATGATATTTGATATACTTTACAGAGTCATAAAGCCGGTAAAGACTAAAAACCAATGTTGTGGTTAAAGTCATTAATTTTGTATCACCTGGTATTTTCTTTTTATTTTGATTAGAATTGCTTCGTTTTTGTTTTTTTTTTGTTACCTATAACTAACTAACGATATGCTTAGACCATTTCTGAAATTGTTCGCTAGCTATAAACAACAGACAAAATGCCCTTTACATTCACTCCAAACGAATATGTTGATATGCTTTTAATTTTTGGTGAGTGCCAAAAAAATTCTCGTGCTGCTGTACACTTGTATCAACAGAGGTTTCCTGAGCGCCGACAACCATCACGTAAAACATATTCTTATGTTGAGACTAGGATGAGAGAAGGGTCATTTCCAGGAAAAGACAAACATCGTCAACATGCTGCTGCTGTAAGAACTGAAGAAATGTGCATTAATGTATTAGCTTATGTGCAAGTACATCCCCAGATATCGACGCGAAACCTAGCTAACGAGGTTCATATTAGTAAGTCGTCAGTACAAAGAATCCTAAAATCCTATAATTTTCATCCGTTTAAAATTCATTTGCATCAGGAACTTAGAGCTGGAGATTTCGAAAGAAGGATAACATTAATAGCACATTTTGAAGATTTAATGGAACGAAATCCCAACATTTTGAACCAGATATTGTGGAGTGACGAATCAAGGTTTCACAATAATGCTACTGTAAATCGTCACAATATGCATTATTGGTCTCCTGAAAACCCTCACTGGGTTAGGGAAACTAACTTTCAGACCATCTGGGGAGTAAATGTGTGGTGTGGATTATTTCAGGGACGACTGATAGGTCCCTATTTTTTTCAAGGTACGTTAACTGGTGCTAGGTACTTACACTTTCTTGAAAATGACCTTCCAGAACTTCTTGAAGAAATTCCAATACAAGAAAGAGGTGCTATGTGGTGGCAACAAGATGGAGCTCCTCCACATAATAGTAATTTAGTTACCCAATTTTTAAACGAACGCTTTGAAAATCAGTGGATCGGAAACAGCGGCCCTTTGAGGTGGCCTGCGCGTTCACCAGATTTATCGCCTCTAGATTTTTTTTTATGGGGATATCTGAAGACCGTGGTATTTGAAACACAGCCATTGAATTTAGAAGATTTGCAAAATAAAATAGTACAAGCCTGCAATAACATTACACCAGAAATGATTACAGCGTCATGTACTCGTGAACTCATTGGACGTTTTGAAGCATGTTTGGCAAGTAATGGGGGCCATTTCGAACAATTTTTGTAAATATTCAATTATTTAAAAAACATATTAAGAGGTTTACCTATTCATTGGATTTGTTATTTTTTAATATAATAAAATGATAAAATGTAAACTAATTATTAATGACTTTAACCACAACATTGGTTTTTAGTCTTTACCGGCTTTATGACTCTGTAAAGTATATCAAAAATCATATCGTTGTATTCGGGACAAATTGAGTATTTATATCAGCGAAAAAAAATATAGGGGTGACATTTGAAAAAAAAAAAGTTAGGGGTTGTTCCTATGGGGTGGATTGATGAATATAACTTTATGTAGTGGAATTTAAAAGGCTACTAGACAAATATTATTCATATTTTTTTTTACAATTTTATATCATTAAATAACCGAGATATCCGCTGGGCAAAAAAATCTGGGACACCCGGTATAGACAATAAACAACTTCCTGTAAGATAAACAATAAGGTGTGGATTAAATGTAAAATATATTTCATTCTTTAGCTTGACTTTGTCCAATAAAGAGGTATTTTTTTTTCTCTCCTGGGCTCGTCTGACTATGTGTCTCCGAATAACACTGAATCCTATTGGCTTATTGTGTTTTACCCCATGTTAGTTCATAGCACCCACTCTATCACCTTTGTACCTTGTACAAAGAGGTATTAAAAGTACTTCTTAATTTTTTAAAAATTAATTTTCCATAAGGAAAATTAAAACTGGTGCAGTCAGTAGGATTCGTGCGAACTGTGAATACTGTGCAAATTCGGAAAAATCGTTTTCTTCGAGTGATAGACTTGGATTTTTAGTCACTATCGTGCAGACTTTCATGGTTTTAACGTGTTAACGATTTAAGCGCGAATTCTAACCAACCGTTCCCACCTGTACATTTATACATTTTCCCAGAGATAAACAAGTGTTAATTAAATGTAAAATATATTTCATTCTTTAGCTTAACTTTGTTCAATAAAAGTACTTCTTAATTTTTTAAAAAATAATTTTTCATAAAGAAAATTAAAACTTGATGGATTTACAATTTTTCGATAAATTATGTGCAGTTATTCAGGGAAACTGGTAACGTCGATCAAAAAACTGGAAGTGGGTTGCAGTTTAAACGTGAAATGAAAATATTGAAGTCGTTTGGCATGCTATTGATGAAAATTCCTAAATATGGATTTCAGTATTAGCCTAACAAACAAATTTGTCTTATAGCACATGTCAACTCATTTAAAAAATACTTAAACTATCATGCATACGAGCTGCAATGTTTTCATGCACTTTTTTCGGTGGATTTTCCAAGACAACCCAATTAACACGGTACCAAATCCTTTAGGTTTCGATTTTGCTACGAAGCCTTATAGTTCCTAGAGTACACTTTGGGACTAATATTGCTACTTTATTAAATAAGGCTACTTTATATGATTATTAAAAAGGAACTGTTACCACACCGATACCATTTCTTGGTACTGTAAACACCCAAATTCGAGGTAATATTTGGGTAGTTATTGGAACTGAGCAGTATCACCTTATTATTACTTTATAGTGGCAAAAGTTATACATCAATGTATCAGTTATTGCCACCCACCAGTGCCATCCATTATATATTATACTAACGTATACCTACACTTATACTTTTATTTTATACTATATGTATACTATTACTATACACTTATATTATATACTTATACTACAGGGTCCGGCAGTGAAAGTTTTGAGGTATGGTTTGCAGCGCGCCGCGAAGTAGTGGGGAAGAAAGTAGCTGACTCGCCAAGACCTGCACTGCATGATTTACCACATAGAAAAATAAAAAAATCTTTCCGTTTCACTGCCGGACCCTGTATATACTTATACTATATGCTTATACTATATTATACTTATACTATATACTAATACTTATTTATAGATACTTTTTACTTTCCTATCTGTATACAGATATAAGGAAAGTATAGGAATCATGATTTTTTTCGACCTCGAGTTTTCGACGGATTTTTACGTTTTGAGGTCCCCTGAATCCGTTTTGACTATTTTCGCGATGATGTCTGTGTGTGTGTGTGTGTGTGTGTGTGTGTGTGTGTGTGTGTGTGTGTGTGTGTGTGTGTGTGTGTGTGTGTGTGTGTGTGTGTGTGTGTGTGTGTGTGTGTGTGTGTGTGTGTGTGTGTGTGTGTGTGTGTGTGTGTGTGTGTGTGTGTGTGTGTGTGTGTGTGTGTGTGTGTGTGTGTGTGTGTGTGTGTGTGTGTGTGTGTGTGTGTGTGTCTGTGTGTGTGTGTGTCTGTGTGTGTGTGTGTGTGTGTGTGTGTGTGTGTGTGTGTCTGTATAACGAATAACTCATGAACCGATACACAGAAAAACACCAAATTTTAAACTTAAGCTTTGTTTCAGCGTCCAATGAGCTGATTAGATTTTGGGCAGTGTCGGAACATCTGGGGGGGGTACTTTATAGGTGGTCATTTTTTATTTTATGGAATATATCTGTTATTTACGTTTGGAGAAGAAAATTCTTCAAATAAAAGTTACTTCTAATATAATTATCTATAATTTTTGTTTTGTGCAAAATTTTCCTAAAATGGTCCGTATTCGAGAAATTTGACAAAATGTAAAAAACATAATTTTTTATAAAAATTGTTCAAATAAAAGTTGTTTGTAATATAATTCTCTATAATTTTTGTCCTATACATAATTTCTCTAAAATGGACCGTATTCGAGATATTTGAGAAAATGTGTAAATATCGAAATTTGAAGAAAACTCAAAAACGGATAAAGGAAAAAACATTAAATTTTAAACTTAAGGTTTATTTCGGCCTGACGTGAAATGATTAGATTTTGGACAAAGTCGGAACATCTGGGGGGTACTTTATGGGAGGCCGTTTTTATATTTTATGGAATATATCTGTTATTAATGTTTGGAGAAGAAAATTGTTCAAATAAAAGTTACTTCTAATATTATTATCTATAATTTTTGCTTTATGTTAAAATTTCCTGAAATGGTCCGTATTCGAGAAATTTGACAAAATGTGCAAAATTCTGATTTTTATGAAAATTGTTGAACTAAAAGTTGTTTGCGATATCGATTTCTATAATTTTTGTTTATACATGATTTTTCTAAAATGGACCGTAATGGAAAAGTGCTAAATTTAAATTT